CAGAGAGAGCGAGGCATGGACTGGTGCTTCCTGACCCAGCATCCTGGTGCAGGATGAGTTCTCCTCACTTGGGAGAGCCCCTTCAGTATTGCCACAGGAGGTCTCAGCAGCTTGGGACAGGGTTGGAGGGTCCTGAACAGCTTCTGGTTGTGCACAGTGTCCTCATGGTGGAAAGCCATCCTAGACCAAGGCCAAGGACGATTCTGGGGGAGCTCCAGGTGGTGGATCACAGAGTGCATGGGGGTCTGTTGGTTCCAAGTCTCTTATAAGCTGTTGCCACTGCTGTAGTCTGGCTGGGACAAGGAGCTCAGGTGGGGATGTGCCCAGAGGGCTCCAAGAGACAGTGAGTGCCAGAGTGGGCAGTACCTGTAGGGATTCTGGGAGGAATGACACTTGCTAAAGACCTTCCTTTTGTTTCAGTGAGAATCATGGACGAGATGGGTAAGAACCAATGCTTTGTGGCCTACTCCGTGGTGACTCCTGCACCCACTCATGCACCTCCAATCCCAACACTGTCTCCCAACCCCTGCCCAACCCCTTGGCCGGTCTTGGGGATTGTCTGTCACCCAGGAGGTGACCAGGATCCCACAGACCCAGGGAAGGGCCTGGACATGGCAACATAAGCCAATTCCCATTATCTTCTGCTATCCAAAAGCCATCCCAGAGCTTCCTGGGCTGGGGACGTGTGCATCCTCATCCTCACTATGCCTCTACTAACCGTGCCCACCCCTTTCCTTCACAGACTTCCGACGGGCACGGAGTTACCAGGGTGAGTGTTGGGAATGGTGGCAGCTGTGGGGGCTGCAGTCCCTGTGGAGGGGGGTGGATGGAGGGTGCCCATGGCGTCAAATCTGGATCAGCCCAGTACCTTGCACCCATCTCCCTGTGCTCAGAGCTTGTGGGGATGCTTGGCTGGGATCAGCACGGCAAAGGATGGTGGGTGGCACAAGGCCATTCCTCCGTTGCCTGGGTCACATGGACAGGTTGAGACCGGGAGCTGCTCTTTGCGCTGGTGCTCGTGGAACTCAGCATGTCCCATGGGCGACATGCTCTCCTGTTCTCTCCACAGTGGACATTGCCCTGGACCCAAGCCACAAGCACCCTGAACTCATCGTGTCGGAGAACGGCCGATGCCTCCAGTGCTCTCCCTCCTCTCAGGGGTCAGCCCCCTGCGTCGCTGTGGGGCACCGGGGCTTTGCATCGCAGCGAGCTTACTGGGAGGTGGAGGTGGGCGATGGGGAGGGCTGGGAGCTGGGGGTGCTGAGTGAGAGCACCAGGGCACAGGTGAAACAAGGGGAATTAGAGGAACCACCCAAGGAGGGCATCTGGGCCATGGGGAGAGTGGAGGGACGGTACCACCCCGCCGAGGCTGACACACGGCTGCAAGGGCAGGAGAAGGCAGTCGTCATTGGGGTGTTTCTGGAGGGAGAATTGGGGAAACTCGTGTTTTATAACGTTGCCACTATGGCCTTGATTGTGGAGATCCCTGTGCCTGAGTCACAGATGCTCTACCCTTTCCTCAGTCTCAGTCCTGGCAGTGGGGGAGTTGGCAGGGATCCCCTTCGCATCTGCCCCCTCAGTGACTGGGATTTCCCACAGATATTAGTGCAGAAGCGATCTAGAAATGATGCCAAGAGCAAGGGCAAAACAGGGCACCCGGGTGGCGGCTCCAGCCAGGAAGTGCTGGCAAACAATTCGGGACCATCCTCAGCAAGTCAAAACCCCGTTGCCTCTGGCTCCAATGATAGAGGGAGGCAGGAATCCTGCCAGACAGATCCAGAACCATCCCCAAGCCCTCGGGAGCATCGGCAACCCTCTGATGAGGACAAAGCTGGAATAACAGCAGAAATCCCTGAGGAGGGAGGATCCTCTCACACATCTGGGCACACAGAGACCGAGAAGAAAGCCCAGACATGACCTCAGTTGCATTGCTCCTGCAACCAAGACAGCATGGACAACCCTGGACAGCCAGGCCTGGCTGCTGGGGAGGCCACGTTGCTTTGGGACAAGGAACACCCTCCCCATATAGGGAGATGAATGCAGGTAGAGGGGAAGTGGGAAGACAGAACTGCTGGTGAGGGGATGTGCAGTGTCCAGGGCCCAATCTGGGCTGCTCCACACCCTCTGCAAGCCCTGGAGGATGGAAGTTCATTCCACTGGCAATTTCCAAATACAACGATTCTTTCTGCACCTTCCTCTGCCTGTTGTGTCTCACTGAATCTCTCCACACTGCTTCTATCTACCGTTTGCCTGCCTGTTCCCCCAAGGCATCTGTGCATGAGGCTGCATATGCCTGTGTCCACAGTACCCCCATGCACTACAAGCACCATGAGCAGAGCCCTTTCCACCAGACCTAATTCACTGGGTGCTGCAAACACATCTTGGAGCATGCCACCATCCTGGGTTGGGGGTTGAGGTGTCCTGCAGACCTGCAGGTCTCCCAGGATCATCTTGTATCCATGTGGGGAGGAACACCTCCATCATGAGCTCATGAGGAAAAGGTGACCCCATCATCCCATGTGAAATCCAAGCCTGCCCCTGCATGTCCCCAGGGTTCTCCCCTCATCTCAGGACCTTGCAGTGGAGCAGGGCCTGATGGCAGCACCTACCTGCACTGGGACACACCTTGATAGCCCTTTTTGAGGCTACCCTTTGTGTTAGGTGTTCTCCAACCTCCGTTGCACACATACCCCAAATACCTCACTACCATTCCACTCACAGCTCAAGTGGATGAAGCAAGTGGCAAAGAGGTCCAGAGAAACTGAGGACTCAACTGGGAACAACTGGTTGGCCGAACTGTGTAACCAATTGGGATTCTCCATGACCAAATTATCACAAAGCAGTTATTTAATAACTATAATCTGCATTATATGTACAAAAATGAAACACATTATGCACTCTAACTAAAGCTGTTGGAAACATAGTATCTACCCTTATAATTAATTTAACTATAGTGACATCCCTCATACCAACAGCCTAAGTGCAGATGTCCCTCCCTTGACTGTACTTTGTTTTAAATCATGGAGGGAAGAGGTGACTACACCACTCCATGGATTCCGGTTGAATCGTGACTGTCATGGGGTGAATAGTGCGGTAGGTACACTCCAAATTCCTCTCCCTCTTCACTGAATTTTGGCAAAAGAGTTAATTAGTGCAAGGAGCTCTGAGGAACACATCAGTCACATCTTGGGACACACACCGATCGCTTGGGTAGAAGATGTGACCACGGGGGCTTTTGAGTCTTAGAGCCAAGTTCTCCTCGGATGAAACTAATTAGCCACAAGCAGTGGCTAATTCTCATAGTGACATCCAAACTTGCTGAAAATCATCTACTGGGGCGCAGCCTCTGCATGTCAACCCCCTTGGTAATAAAGCATTGACCCAGTTGAAGATTAAGTCTGGATCCAGAACCCTGGCTTCCCTCTGGAGGAGTTGAGAAAGCAAGAGCATGCTTTTACGGTTGGACTTGGTGATCTTGAAAGTATTTTCTAACCATAATGATCCTTTGATTCTATGATTTTTTCTGAACCTTGTGACACGATGGGAAGGTCTCCATCCATCAGGGAATTCTGTTAAGTAACCCTTTAATAATAAGCTGTTGCCCAGGACGCACTAAGGTTGTTCTGAACTGAACCCCTTGACTCAGCGGGAGGGCTGTCTAATCACCCATTCCCTCGCTTCAATCAGCAGAGGTGATAGGGTAACAGCTCACACCTCAACCTCCTCTGTCCAGGCCTCACGTTTTGCTGTCTCATGGTGCTTGTAGTGCATGGGGGTGCTGTGGACACAGGCATATGCAGCCTCATGCACAGATGCCTTGGGGGAACAGGCAGGCAAACGGTAGATAGAAGCAGTGTGGAGAGATTCAGTGAGACACAACAGGCAGAGGAAGGTGCAGAAAGAATCGTTGTATTTGGAAATTGCCAGTGGAATGAACTTCCATCCTCCAGGGCCTGCAGAGGGTGTGGAGCAGCCCAGATTGGGCCCTGGACACTGCACATCCCCTCACCAGCAGTCCTGTCCTCCCACTTCCCCTCTACCTGCATTCATCTCCCTATATGGGGAGGGTGTCCCTTGTTCCAAAGTAACGTGGCCTCCCCAGCAGCCAGGCCTGGCTGTGCCGGGTTGTCCATGCTGTCTTGGTTGCAGGAGCAATGCAACTGAGGTCATCTAAGGGCTTTCCTCTCTGACTCTGGGTGCCTGGTTGTGTGAGAGGATCCTCCCTCTTCAGTGATTTCTGCTGTTGTTCCAGCTCCAATCTGCATTGGAAGGATGAAGATGCTCCCCAGGGCTTTGGGATTGGTGTACATGTGTCTGACAGGGCTACTGCCTCTCTCTGTCATTGGAGCAGGAGGTGACGGGGATTTGGCTTGCTGAGGATGGTCCCAAATTGTCTGCCAGCAATTCCTGGCTGGAGCGGCCACCTGGGTGCCCTGTTTTGCTCTTGCTCATGGCATCATTGCTAGATCGCTTCTGCACTAATATCTGT